CTCTGTTAATCATCGCGTAATTACCGCTCCAATTATCAGATACTGAGATACGATGTTGAGCAGAATGCCGCGGTATATAACCCGAGGAGTCGTCGACTCACCCGTCGCTCCTCAAATCATATTCTTTTATATTTATTTATTCCCTCTCATTGGATATTTAAATAGTTGATTGCAATTTTTATGACTGCCTTCGCGGAAAATTGGGCCCGATGAAATGACGCAATTAAATCACGCGTGAATGCGTCGGGAAACGTCTACTGCTTCGTTATCGATTGACATTGTCTGTTACTCGGTATTTCGGTTAATAGGAATATTTTTAATGAGGGAGATTGAATAAATTAATTGATGATTCGGGGAGGCCTCACAGTTTTGGGGTGTAATTCTTGGAAAAATTGTTAATTTGACGAAAATTTGGTGTTTTAGAATTTTATGGAATGCGAACTTCCGGTTTTCAGTGAGAATTTAAAATTATTATTATTATTAATTGCAGTGAATTTATGAATTAACGACAGAATTGACGATCTAATGATTGAAAATCCTATTGAAATAATTTTCACGAGTATATGATCATTCAACTGGAAAACCTCAATTTCCTTGGGTTTCCAAAATGAATAATAAATTACTAACCGTTTTTTATTGAAATTATAATTAATTGTATAATGAAGTATACACTGAAATAATATTGAATTAAAATTCGTATAATTACAGAAATTCGGATCACTTTGTAACTGAAAACTTGAAAAAATTTTCAAAAATAAAATGATCTCAATTTTTAAATCCAAATTACCGCAATCAAACCGCCGATACGTCACCTCGCGCATTGACAAAAAAAACCTATATTAATTATTAAAAAATAATTAATAATAATAATTCATACATCCCTCCTTGAATGGATATGACTGATTGAGTACACACTTCTACAACATTACATAATCATCTTCAATGGCCAGCTGTTTCATTAGAAATTGTCCCTCACATTAAACCGAAAGGGTTGCGTCTCATGGACTATGATAAAAAAAGGGCGAGGTGGATGGGGTGGGGTTTAAAGGGGTTCAAGGGGGTTTAAGGGGATTTGAGGGGGTTCAAGGGGGTTCAAGGGGGTTGTTGAGACATATAGTGAGAGGGCGTTACCCAGCATTCCACGGTAAATTAACTTAGCGGACAGGAGGGGCGCAGGATCCCTCGCCGGTTTAGTCCCTCGGATCTACCGCCAAATATTCATTTAAAAAGGTAAATGCAATTTTGCCGTTTTACGTGATTGAGATAATGCCCTCCGATTAACTGCCTTCCAACTTTCCCCGTCTCTTTTATTTTCAAAAGCCCCACTCCACCTTTATTCTATTTTTTTTTTCATCATTCCCTCCGTTTTACTCTTATATACCATCCCCCTCATGGCTTGTTGTCTTTATTTATCATGATCTCTCTCTCTCCTTTCTATCCTACCGGTAGCATCAACGCGTCATTACCGAAATTCAAAAACCCTCCCTTCCCGCCTTCTCTCGTACCACCAATTCACTGGCAATTGCAAGAGGCGGCGTCGACCGCGGCACCAACGCACCGCCGACTCTTCCTTTTTCCCCTCTTCGCCTTTCCCTTCTTCCCTTCTTCACCTCCTCCTCACCCCTCCACCCCACAAGCCCACCACCCCGCCGTTCACCATTTCTTTTCTCTCACATCACCAATCAAATGCAATTTTCAGTACGTGTGCCTGGCAAGTATAAAAATTTCAAAGAGAAAAATAAGAATAATTGCACCTCTCATTCCCGGGTATTTCTTCCTCCCCTCAACCCCCTAATCCCCCTCCCACCCTTCTCACCCCGTTTCTTTCTCCTTGTATTCTTAATTATTTTCCTTTATTTGTCGTCTTAACCAACGTCACCCAAAAAACGTAACGGATGACTGGTTTATTATCCCACCTGTCGCCACTGCCTTGAAAGTTACACGAAATTAATAATTTTTTTTTTTTCCTCTCCATTATCCACTCTTTTTTTTTTATCTCGCTGGGTATTAAACGCGAAATGTAAGCAATCTCTTCTCACCTTCTCACCTTCAAGAAGATTGTCATTTAAACTTGAGCCTCACCACGTACAACTCAAACACCTGTTTTATGGAGATGGTACTGTACATCTCATTGCGCGACACCGCAATGTTGCACAGTTAGTCTGTCCTTGTTCAGCCTTTGGATGGTGGATTGTTGGGGGGGTAGGGGGAGGTGAGCAAATTACCCGTGTGATGTTGCGGCAGACCTGGGTGATACTAATGACGATGAAAAAAGGATGAGAGCGGTGTGGCCAAATGGCAAACAAGGTCGCTGCCACCGAACCTTTTTGCACGGTTTTACATGTGTTAGGTGTTATTATTGTCTCATCGGTGTTGGATCAGTCCTTTTCCCACAGGGATATGGGAAACATCTTCTCATCAGGGGATATCTGCACGGAGAAAAATATTTTGAAAAAATTACGGAACTCTCTGGTCGCTTCCGATTATGGAATCGACTCGAGAAATTTATTCATTCAGATAAAAATTGAGATATTATTAATTCAGATAATTCAGATAAGAATTACGGAACTTTACGTTACTCAATGATTACGATTACTCAACTTTACCTTACTCAACGAAAAAAAATTGAATTCAATTTAGAGATGAAAATAATTTTTTTTCGAAAATCGATGAAAATACATTTTTTTTGAAAATCGATGAAAATCAATTTTTTTTCAGAAATTTTCGGAAAATTTAATCTATTAGTCAAAAAAATAATGAAATCAATTGCAAGATGAAAATAGAATTTTTTTCCAGAAATTTTTGGAAAATTTAGAAAAAATATTGAATTTAATTGAGAGATGAAAATATAATTTTTTTTCAGAAATTTCTGGAAAATTTGGAAAAAATACCCCAGCCCGTCATTATTCCCCTCACACCCAACCACCCTCTAGATATTACCCTCATACCGAAGAAAATCGATGAAAAAGAAAATCCTTCACTCAGCCCAAAGCACTTCCCGAACAAAAGTAATTACCCAGCTCGATGCAACGAGGTGTCAGATAGTTATTCACCGACCACCTCAAACTCAAACTTTTCCCACACAAAGTGCAAAACCACAATCCACCATAAAACCACATTAGAAAGACGATAAAATCACCGCCCGACGCACAGTTAGAAATTTACACCGAAAGATTAACTAAAATTGTCCCTTCCCTCAAACTTGATATCCTGCTTCCCGAGATAATTTATCCCCTCATTAGATATTTTTCTGAGACGCAGGTGGACAAATTATCCCAATCCTTTTCGTCAAGGTCCCACCAAATGGCTCTACGTTTATATAATAACGTCGGCGGTTACAAGAGATAGTGGAAAAAAGGTAATGAATGAAAATAAATAAATGTAAAAAAAATTATTAAAAAAATACGATGAAGGGGTGGAGGTAAGGAATAAGAATGAAGCGCGATACTAAAGAGGAGAAGTGGAAATGCCTACTGGTGGATTTAGCGAGGGATACAGGAGGCTGGCCTGCCGGTGTAAATGCAATCAAGAAGGCCTCAATTAGGCCGTCACGCCGTGCATCTCTCATCTTCTGGTGTAGTAGTTCTCATCTTGCCCTCCCCTCTGCCTCCCCTCTGCCTCCCCTCCGCCCCCTCACCACCCCTCAAAACGTGATACCCATGTGTATTCAAAAAGTGCGTTATCAATTCATCTCTTATCACTCAGCCCTCGTCAATCCAAGTACTTGTTACGCCTGGTAAAAATTACACTTGAGATTTTCTGGTAAAAATTGCACTTGAAATTTTTTGGTAAAAATTCCAATATTCAATGATTCTTTGGGTAATTAATTAATGATGTGTTAATTTATGGAATATTGTAGTAATTTAAAATTTTCAGGGCGATAGAGAAAAATTGAAGAAATCGTGGAAATTTTGACTTTTGGTTAAAAGACAATTATTATTGTTATTGTAATTATTATTATTACGGGAAAAAATACTCTTAAGCTTGAATTTTACAAAAGTGCCGAGATTATTTAATTATTTAATAATTAATTAAATTTCTTAAAAGATTATTATTTAACACGGAAAACCCATTTTTTCGTAATTTTGAAGTTAAATAAAAAATGACGGAGTGTTTTCAATTGACATGAAATTCAATTAAAACTCATACAATTGAAAATTGAAATGACTGCGACTGAAATTTCAAGCGATTTTCAATGATGCCAGATTTTCATCGATTTCTCGTGCGGCAAAAAATCTCATTGCTCTCGATAATATTTGAATTACGGTGAGCCGGTTCTGATGATCTTTATGACGGCGATTAGCTCAGTTTAACGTTAAATAATATAGATAAAGGGGTAGGATGAGTGTAGACGTTTGGTAAAAGCGTAAAATTCACCGGGACGTCGACGATCATCGAACGATGGGACGCGCTTATTAGGTGGCTAGAAACGGGCGTAAAACGTCCTCGTAATGACGGGTTTTACTAACTAACCGGAGAACGCAAAGATGCCGCAGGCCTTGTGCTCCCTGATGTTGTAGCTCTCTCTGGTGCACTCATTTCACCAGCATTTGAGGTTGTCTCAGGTTCACTGATTTGTTTACACCAGAGCGATTTGGTAATGTCCGCTCTATGTTTAGCCGACTGAATTTCCAGGCACTGATGAATAAATGATAAGAATAAAGAGAGAAGTCACTTTGGGTCTATCGTGAAAATGATGGTGTCCAGATTTGTTCACCCAGGAAAAAAATATCCCCGATAAAGTCCCCGATTTAAAATCTCCTAGTAGAAACAAGTCGAAAAATTATTTCACTTTTTATCTAGCTATCAAATAATATCGCCTATCGAGATATTTTTTTCAGCTTCTGACTCAGTTGATCCATTGATTTGTTCACTGTATTATTTATATGAATAACTGCTAGAGCTGGAGATTAGGAAATGGAATTCAAGGTTTAAACTGCTAAATGGAGTGCAGGTATGAATAAAAAATAAAACAGCTACTGTACATTCGAAAATTCTCATATTTTTTTTTTATTGGCAATATATCTTTTATTCGTCGCAAAGAAAGAAGGAATGGTAATTGAAGACTGATAATGATAGTAACAAGCTAATTAGAATGTTGGACTGGTAAAGGGGAGATTTTTCTTCTGGTCTTATTCTAAGTAATTGAGATAGGGAATTTTGTTTCCCTCTTTCGAATCGGCCGATCCTCGATATCCAACAATGGGATTTGTTTGTGTTGCCCGTTGCGTGTTAGCAACCGTTAAACACACGTTCATAAAAATAAGAAGATAGCAATTGAGCCATTGAAAAATGGGCCCTCGGAATGCTCGGTATTTACAAGTTCAGGCAACTCCTCAATCACCACTTCTCTCGCTCACTTATGTAAAACCTCAATAACAATATAATATGTTTAATATAATAAGTATAAATATTTATAACGTATATATAAGTGATATATGCTACGTAAACATATAGATTCAATATATAAGAAATATCTCTGCTAAGATCGACACATTTACATCAATTCACGAATTCAACGTCTAACCGGATGTTACAAATATTCAACTTTCAATCGTCAACACTTAAATTTCATTCATTGGCCCAGATATCGCCTGCCATGACGCAACGCTCCCGAGAATTATCAATGATAAACCATCATTAATAGTTTCCTCAATGATCGGGTCATGGTGGATAGTTAAGTTACGAAAATTAAGGATTGAGAATGTGTAACAGACAAACCAATAAATATCCGGCTTGAATAGATATTTCTGAAATATCTAAAACGGCCACTCTTGGTTCGTTAAGGCTGAGTGAATTGCCTTTGCAACGACGCGATTTACCAATAACCACTTGAAAGCGACGACATTTCGAGGAATCGATGATAAAATACCGTCTGATAATTATCATCGATTAGTCGAACTGTTAAAGTGGTCATCTTGTTCCACGTCGATGGCAAGGGAACCCGGTGTAACTCCCTGAATTAATAAACTCGGAAAAATAAGACAAGCAAATTGAGATTCAAGCTCCTAGTTGTGAGAGGTAAAAAAAATTCATTTATCACGCGAATTTGAGAAATGAATTCCAAAGAGCCTGTCTTTGGTCGATCATTGGGAGCCTGATCCACACTGAGGGGAGAAAAATTCACTAGGATATCGAAAAATCTGTCAATTTTTTCTCGACGATTGCAGCGAACCGACAAGTCCTCATGATAAGAATCAATTGCTTTCCGAATAACTCGAAAAATTATTAATTCTCATCGTTGACCAATCGCATGCAATCCCCCACATTGATCTCCTCCATTTGATCCTAGAAGTCGAGTTTGCCCTCTCAGTAGATTTGCTGTTCTTAAATTTCACGTTATCGAATGTTAAACATAGTGTAAAGTCGGTACGATTCTTCAGCTTATGAGATCACCATTTTTTCGAAGCATTTCAAGATGAAGTTCGTATTCACGCGCTTTGAGTCTCAGAGAGGCGATGCTATTTGTCCTTCTGTCGATGTCAGGTAGTGCTGTTATGCTGCCTGTTGGTGAGCCAGCTGGTGAACTCGTGTTGGTCGACGATGCAGGAGGTAGTGGATGGCCAACAACGGGGGATGGAGGTGCTGGTGGTGGTGGCACTGGTGCTGAAAGGCTTGGCTGAGGTGGTGGCTGCGGCGGTGGTGAATTGCGGACAATCTTTGGCCGTTGGGCTGCTGATATGTTGGCTAATAATGTTTGAAATGATGCAGCTGAGGTGTACGGCAGTGGCATCCCCGGTGGCAGAAGTGGAGGTGGTGCTCGGTGATAAGGATGATTGGGATAGCCTCCAGTCAGAATTGGACCGTGACCAAGTGGTGGATATCTGAAGGCCTCGAAGGGCTTGCGCAGGGCAAACGATCCCAAATGGGCAAATGGATTTGGCAGAGTTGGCGCTACAACTGCTGATGGTGGTGGACCACCTCCACCCAAATATGGATTGTAAGGGTGACCTTGTGGACCGACCTTCTCCTGCTTCCGCCATTTGGCCCGACGATTTTGAAACCACACCTGCAACACGACATCAAACAGTACTGATAATTGAGGGTTCTTCCCCGTTTGATCACTTTGGCAGATATTTATATTTATTTTGTCTGACCAGATTTACGCTGACTTAAGATTACTTAAAGATTGCCATTCCGTCAGGACGATGGCAATTGCCGGGAACTGGATAACGATAACTCGAGAGTAAATTTGATATTCTTCGTCTTTCTTCTGTATATTATTTTCCCTCAGCAAAAGGTAGTATTTTATTCAACTCAGAAAGGAAGTTGAAGCGGAACAATTGATGATGGCGTTTTCATCAGTTCCCCGAAGAGATCTCAGAGGGCCTCTAATCAGTTCAACGGAAGTTACTATTACACCCGACTCATTCCGTGAAGTATCTGCTTTTATTTCTTCTCCCTCTTCTCCGGCCAACCCGTTTCTCTGAGATCTCCTCTTTCGCTTCATCTTCTTCATCCGCCGTTCGGGAATGAAAATAAATACTCGATTTTTTTCCTACTTTTAATTAAGAAATATCTCCACTAATTCAGTAAAACCGAGAATGCTAAGAGTGGGGTGGGGTGGGTGGTAGGGGAGAAGGGAGAGGATCGAGTTATAAAATATAAGGTGAGGACTCGTGCCGGTTGTTGGGTCGAACACACCGGTACCGAAAAAGCAAACAAATGCGAAAAACTCGGAACGATCGTTCATTCTTTTGTTCTTAATATAAAGAAATGGATAGACGAGACAAAGAGGGGCAAGGGGGGGTAGATAGGGGGAAGACGGGGAGAGATATTTCGTCTCTTGAAGGCTTAAACTCGACGCGTGCGGGATATCGTGACAAAACGCAATGAATCCAGAGTTTATTCGTCAACAACAATTCAACTTATCCAATCATCCACGGTACGAGACGATCGTGACCGAGAGCGCACCTGCGGAATTTCGCTGTGGCCTTCCTGACTCTCCTTCCTAGAACCACTTCAAATCCTATCTCACTCGGCTCCATTTTATTGTCCTTTATAATAACAATTCAACTAAAAGAGATTAAGTTCAAGTTGTAAAATTCTATTCAACGTTTTTCATCAGAGAAAAGAAATTCACCCCCCACCACTCGACGTTCCAAGATTTTAATATTTTCTTTTATTACAGTTTCATCCACTTGAATATGTTAAATTGTTTAGAAGTTGTTACATGATATAAAAGAGATGCCGCTACCGCTCAACATGATACACATTAAACCGGTGAATAATATACCGATGGGGTTCTAATATTGAGGGACATTGAGACAGAGTCACGCACGTAAGAATAGAATGACGATGCTCTTTCTGTTTAGTATTTGTACAAGAGCGATGATCAGATATGATTTTGTAATGGCTGGTTAAAAGTTGAATTGAACAAGGCGAGCATGCAATATTATTAGAGAGGAAAATTGAGGATTGGGGAAGCCGGGGGGCGAAAGGCCGCGGAGGGGTGGAAGTGGGTGAAGGGGAGCGGTGCCCCCCCATGGTGAAGACGATTGCCCCCCAGCGGGAAGCTAAACATCCCAATGGGGTTAAAACAAAATGCACCGACGCACACACCACGGAATCCAGTCGTTTCACCTTAATTGCGGCACATTAATTATAATGGCCGCTAGCATTCAGGATGTATTATCAATTCGATTTGTACGGGCGAGTTCGGCCAGGTATACCGATCGTTAATCTGTCGAATTCGTTTTAATTTTCCCCCACCGCCATGTGTTTCATATAAAAATAATAAAAATAAATAAATAAAGATAAGAATTGTAGACAAGGATTGAAAAATTATGGGTTAATAATGAGCTGATGATCTATGACGGAGAGTAAATGAGAAAATTTCGAGGGATCGGTGGGAATTTATGGAAATCACCGGTAGATGGCCGCGGCCTCTCGCAATCAATACACTACCGTGGAGAGGTTGAAATAGCGGGAGCCCGTGGATGGGGTTCGGGGCTCGATCATTTTATTTGTTGAATAAAGTGTAATTTGCGTTATCAGAGACACTTTATCTTGCGGAACACAGGAACTCGCACCTGGGGTTCTCGACACGCAGAGCGACCGCGCGGTTCACGCTTAACACCCTTTTCTCAAAACTCTATTATTCCCACAACGGTTCGTTTACTCCAGCAACCTTCAATCCTCTCAATCACAGAATTTATATATATATATATTTTATGGCGCTGTTGGGCTCGCCACTTGGTGTGGTGTGGGATGGAAACGGGAATGGCCAGGATTGTAAAAAAATGAATGATCTGGGTACATCGGGAAAAGTTGATCTTCCTCTGGAAGAGTTCCAGCTTTTCGAGATGAAATCGTAGGGCCCGGGGCTCACGCGATGCGTTGGGTTTCCCGGAACTCCTCTTCGAGCGATCATTGAGTCGCGAAAAGGTATATATAATACGAAAAAGGGACTCCAGTTGCCGACAAACGCCTTGGACTCCTGGACTTTTGGGGTCCGAATGAGAGAGGAGACCACCTCGGATGGTAGTCGTGTTTTTCTCCGGGCTCACACAAGATTTTTGATGGGTTTGAGGAATGCGAGGGAGGACGAAAGCTTCTAGGAAGACAAATTTCACTTTTTTTTTCCCCCACCGCTTCCATTGCGAGAAAAAAATTGTGATTTAAAAAAATTATTATTATTTAGTCTTCATCAGCTACGGACTGGTGATTTTCTATTACGTGACTGGCAGTTGCATTCGTTGAAATTCGGATTAGCCGGCATTGAAGGGTAATTAATTATCAACGCGGTAATTAAGAATTGAGTTTTTCTCACTGGTTGGATTAATCGTACAGCGCACGCGTCCTGACAATTCAATTTTATTTCATTTCAAGCCGTGACTATCGCGAATTATCGCGGATAACGTGTGTATTTGGTAATGCATATGGTACACCAGTACATGGGTAGAGCAACCGTTTGCTTATGGTCAATGGTCACTGGTTTTGATGCTACCTTGGATACGTACCTCTTTGCCATCAAGTTTCTACGAAATGATTAACTACAGGCCTCGATGCGTGTCATTCTTTTCACTCAGTGGTTCTCACTTTCTATTGATGTACAAGTACTTATCCGATTTATTCATTACGACAGACGTGCAATGGAACTTGGTAATTTAATGGACTGGTGTAGATTGAAGATATTCGACAGCGTTTTTTAGATATTTCAATAGCAATTACTTCATGGTTATTATGGCTTCATTATTCTTCGAGGGGTAAATGTAATTAGATGGATGCGGTATTCTCTCGTGTGGGAATGGAATATGCCAATCGTACGTGTTTTTCATATTTTTGTGAAAGTCAAAGATGTCGATCGCGTAGAAAGCGATATGAAATTGATTGATAATTAAATTTGAATTTATCGTCCGATTCTTTTTCTATAAAATCGATTACCCAATAATTGATAATTAATAATAATCCGCCAATCATATTCACAACCACTTTTTCTTCTTCTAATTATTTATCTTTATGGATAACTATTGAAAAAAATTGGAATCGTACTGTTTGGAGATGTAAAAATATTTGAAATATTTAAATTGCCATCCCAGAATTGAAGTAATGAACTCTGAAATTTCCTCTAATTAACAATCGGGGATTATTGTTGGAAGAATCAATTTAGGGTTGAATTGGAAAAATACTTGAAACATTCTCACGGGGAATTGGCAAAAAAAAAAAATTATGGCAAAGTAAATAACACTCGGAGATCCCCCGGATTTTCTTTCTCCCTTAATCCGCGTATTTGCCTCATTGAATTCGAAGATATGTCGGTCACGATGCCAGAATGTTTAACGTCACGCGATAATTTCGCAAGTACTCTCAAAATAACCGAGAAAAATGCAGTCTTAACCCACGAGTAATGGCGGTGAAAACGAGTGGTAGGGGTATCACAGTCAGCATGGAAGTGGTATTATCAAAGAAAGTGACCTAATGGGGTAAAAGTGGTAAGGGTAAGTATAAAATCTCTTGTGTATTAAACCCGTGTATGTACTGAGAATAAATTAAACTAATTGAGCAAATTAGCCGGCTGTTCACGCAACATGTATTCCCGTAAATATCTACCATCGGGCTTTTCAACGTACAATATAATAAACCCCGTTGGTTATATTCGTCACTTGATATGCATGACGAATTGAATATCTCGTATTTCTTTTTCTCCCTCATCACCATTAATTAATGTATTTACGCACCTGGATACGAGCCTCGGTAAGACCGATCTTCATGGCGAGTTCCTCCCTGAAACAACGAGCATCTGTTAATTAATGTGTTCACTCCTCTCTAAAAAAAATATTAAAAAATCACTGACAAGAAATTAAAAAAATTGATTGATGTAGCCAATATTTTGCCGTTCATGCTCAATCAGTCTTGGGAAAAATTATTACTCAAGGATACTCCGCAATCTGCATGTTTTCCAAGTAAATCTGTTCAATCATCGAGAATCATTTTGTGGAAAAAAATAAGTTGAAAAAAAACTTCATTTACCTGAATGAGATCTAGAATAGTAAAAGAGGGAGGGGAGTGAATATGAAGGCTCGCATTTAAAGAAGCACGATTCAATTATCCTCTCGCTGGTGCCCATTTGTGCGCCAAACGTAATATTCCTTCACGCCCGAATGGATTCGGAAAAGCGGCGAGAGAATAAATGACAGGGGACCCACAGGTCCGTGGCAGAAATTGCGAGTTACAGGTGAGTTTTGTCCGTCTTTTGCGCACTTTACGATGGTTTCACGGTTTTTTTTTTTGTTCCTCGGCGTTTTCGTGCCCCGTCTTCCACGGATTTTAATTCAAATGTCGGGAAAGAGAGGAAATTAACGATAAAACGTGGGATTACACACGATAGACTGAGAGAGTGAGTGGGACAAAGATTTTCACGGTGATCTCTCAGCTTAACAATTACTTAGGTGATTGCAATCCCCTCCTGCGCAATTATCTATCGGTGATATCCATGTTTGAAGCAGTGGAGGGAATGAAAATTGTTGTTTTATTATGAGTCGCAATGAGTCATTGTGAACTGGAGTATTTTACTCGGTGTAAACTTCAGTACACTCACTGGCTTAATAAGATCACGAATTTTCGCGGTTAGACGGCCACTCCTAATTATCCCTCCATTCACCGCAAGATAAGGCGTAAGCTACTGGTTTGTAACCTCGATTCTCGCACTTACTTGGGGCTCTTGCTCATTTTTCTTTATAATTTTTTCTCCTTTTTTTTTTTCTTTTCGTAAACTCTTGGGCGCATGTCCTTCGTGTCGGACGATTCCTTTCGAATCTTCCTCGGAAATTATTTTAATTCCAAATGCGCGCATATACATGGGGGCACACACGTATCTTTTGATGGTGCGCTAAACCGATGGAAAATGAAATAAATAATGGTGAGAGGAGGTAGTTGGATGAAAAATCATATGGTAAGGTGAATGGGAGTGAGGGAGATGAGGAGAAAGGAATCGCGTGGCCAACATCATCACTATGATACCTGCCTCGGAGGTTAGGCGCGCGGGTAATTCTTGTAATTATAGGACAATTACATTATCTAATTAACCTGTGAGGTCAGGAGACGGGTACACTTCAACGCGTTGGGGGCCTCCTGTGATTGTCTCCCTGGGGCAATGGCGCAATCTTAATTATCATTGTTTGACACCGTCCGCAAAGCGCACGGGAATTCAGCACCGGAGTTCCAGGAATAACGGAGTGTAACGAGAACTTTACAAGGCAATTTTCCCTCGAGATTTATCTTTTTGCTTCGCCAGCAATTTATTAAATTTATCCTGATTCTTTTGTTGCTTCTTTTATTTATTCATTTTATCAATTTTTTTTTGAGAATTATTCTCCGGAATTGAACAATTCTTGGGGTTCAGCACTGCTCAAATATCTTGGAGTCTTCCTGGAGATGATCTAGATTTTTTGATTCGTGATCGAGTGTTTTGGAATGGCCACTCGATTTTTCAAGTCCATTTTCTCGATCGTTTTTTTATTTCTGTCATTACAAATTTCCAATCTTATTTTTCAGGATCGAATGACGAGGGCACGTCATTTATAGACATTATTTTAATGTAGGATTTTACACTGCTTCATCAATTGACGAATCAATATTATTTTTCACTCGTCGTTAATTACAGATGTGGAAACATCATGTATTATGCATGATATCAATTTCACAATCGAGAGAAAAATCGATTCTCGCTGCTATCACACTTCGACCGATGCACAGAGAGAAATAATCAGTAAAAATTCCAGAACTTTCAATTCGCATACCAATTAATCGAAACCGGAATGGACTCAAAAAATTTAATTAACAATATATTAATTTTCCACAGATAATTCAGGTAAAAATGGCGGTGCGCCGTCTAATAGTTCAAAATTCCATGACTTTGAATAAAAATCACTTGTCAGTTCCGTAAAATTTCCTACAGTCACATTTCCCTCGGGAATTACGGAAAAGACACGTCATTTGATGGAATATTTCTCCTTGCGTATAATATGGTGTCAACTCCTTTATAGTAATGTCGATAATTTTTTTTTTTAATGGAAAATCCCTAAGATCATCTCTGGAATGGAGTAGCCAGTAGCTCATGTCTCAAAGTGCAGTAAATGCGTGCGTAATGTGCGCTTAATACGCGTATGCCGGGTAGAGAGTCAATTACGGATTGGCTACGCTACCGCCAATCGGAGGAGGGATGGACCCAGTTGCAGGAACTCGACCAGTCTTATTCCCCCGATATATCTCCCACTTTCCCCAACTCTCTGTGTTATTTAATATTGCTTTTACTCTTTATTTCTCTCTCTCCTGGACATTGCCATCTCATCTCCTTGCGTCACGGCTAAAAATTTTTTAAACACTTCATACGCCCTTCCGGCGGAGCATTCTTCAGATATATTTGAGACAAATTTCGAAATTAATAAGGAATTCACGATTTCCAATGCTGTGGGAAATCGTTACTTTTGCACGGGGAATTCAATCGACACGCGTCGCGCGAGTATTTCAATTAGTTAGATTTATTTTTAGTTTTGATAATGTTCAGTAATTTTACATGGATAATTTAATTGTAATGGAGTATTTGGAGGGAAAGTGAAATTATGGGTTTTTAATATTTATCTGTGACTTTTTAAAATCATCAATTTTTCATTGGCGGAACCATTTTTATTGATGGAAAATCGAGGAATATTTAATTGAAGTTCTCAAATTTTAATTGATCCCCATCACATGTCGAATTATTCCGTCGAAACTTCAAATTTTCGGAGATAATTCAACAATTAACACAGACGTAAATAATTCGACTCACCATGATCCCTCAAAATATTCTTATCAAATTATCAACATCCAATTACAAAATTTCAACTCAAAAAAAAAAGTATAAAATTTCTAACTATCCTAAAAAATCGCCCACCTCCGAAAATCCTCAGATAAAAATAATTTCCAATAGAGTCCCCCGAAATTTCCAATATTCCCGGATTATCGTCTACACATGAGACATTATTAAATTCATACAGCGTGTTAATAGACCCAACGAATGAAAACAAGAAACCCCAAGCCCTTTGTTTGAACGTAATTTCATTTTACGACCGGAAAGGTTTAACCAACTTCCCGAGAAACGACTTGGTTATATATATAGTTTAGTATCCCTCAACCCAAAGTAGAAAAGGGAGAAAAAAAAACGCAGAAAAGGGGGGTGGGAGAGAGGGGGTCAAAGAAAAAAAAAACTAAGAATGGTGGAAGAGAGGAGCCTCCGGTAGAGAGAGTCAGAGCGGTGAAACTTAATAACGATGATTGTTTCCGCGATCCCAAGCAGGGCCCGTTGGGCCCACTGGGCCCACTGGTCTCACTGTGCCTTTGTGTGGGCCCTCTTCATTAATCGCCACTCGATGCCGAGTCATTCCCCCATTCTCATGAAATTACCAATTACGCATTAACACTGGATGTACGCAATGATCAAGCGAAATAAAAAAATAGCCACTCTAGTTTAATCCCGTGGGTAATTATTCTACGGAGAGAAATTGATTATTTATTATCTGAAAATTGACATGGCTAAAGTGGCATTTATTATGAGGGCAACTTGTGTGGACTGGTTGGTGGATACGGTTGGGTTATGGTAGTAGCTCACGGAGGTATATACTTTCTTATCTAAATTAGATCTTGAAAGGCCTGCACAGTAGTGTTTGGGATAATAATCGATATAAACCGAGCGTCCACTGCAGGACTAAAGTGGTTTACTACCCGTCCATGATCATCAGTTTTGCCAGATTATATTCGTTAACAATAATGTTTAATTATTTCGAAACCCGGGGCTTTCATAATTCTTGTTCGATATCAGAATCAATAAGTAACGTACTGTAATCCTGAGACTCTTTACACGATGGAAAATCATTGGGATCTCAATCTTCAGGCAACACAGCGAGTAACAATATTTAACAAGAAATTTAACTGGAAAATCTATTATATTTCAACGGTACACCGTTTGGGACGATAATCGATAGCAATTCCGCATCAGTTCCGTGATATTATCTCCATAAACAATAACATGTAATTACTCCCGGTCCCGTCTCCGGTAATTTCCATAAAAAATAAAAATCAATTACCAACATGTGTCATGACTGATCTAAAGACTCTTAACAAGCGATAAAACATGAAATTACGGGGAAACATTGGGGATTTCAATGTCTCATTAACAACAGCTGTCTTTGTGATTCTAATCAATCATCATTCTGAGAAACTATATTCAACAACATCTGACCTTCTGGCTTCCACATCTTGGAAAATCATTAAATCAGGAAAAATTCTCATACATCGAACGTTAAGTTTAGGATAATCTATGGAGATCAAATAAAATCTAATGACCCAGTGGTCCCCTGTCGTGGAAAATATTTCGCAATCGGAAAAAAATTCAAAAGAAAGTTGAAGCGAACGCGTGTCAGGACTGATCTAAAGACCCTTAACAAGCAATGAAACATAAAACCATGAAAAATCATTTGGACTTCAATGTTACCATCATGTAGAATTCATCCAACAACCCCGACATCGTTGAATATGCATCAACTATTTAATGCACATCAAGTTGAATAAGCCTATCCAATAAACTCGAACGGCCATAAAATCCAATTAGCGTCCGCTGAAAGAGGCTTGCGGTCATTGGATAGATTCGAAAGAACAGAAACAACGATGATTAACTTGTATACTATATTAGCGCTGTACAACATTTACGAGACTCCCAGTAATAACGCAATTTTATAAATAATAGAAGTACAGGAAAATTAATGGAAAATTGTTGATGATTGCTGCTCATGACAATTGGTTTCTCACAAGGAGGCATTGATTACAATCTTACATGATGTTTTCTTCATTCTCTATTATTGTACATAAGTGCACATAATTTGTTTCTTTTTTACACAATAACTGGGAAAACCGAGTAATTGTATCGTCCATCATTTAATATACCCCTCCCTTCCCTTCCTATCACCCACCCGCCCCCATTAATCCACCCTTTGCATATTTAATGCAGTTATCCGTTAATTGTGAAGTGCATGGAAATAGACTCACTATGCGCATGATAAACGTGAAGGAGAAAGAGCTGTACCTATTACGAGCGATTACACTGCTATTAGTTACCAACTGGGTGTTCTTTAAAGTGGGGTTGAAAGTTAATTTCAATGTAGGATAATAGGAGAAGACGCCACGACTCGCATATCCGCCGATGAAAAAATCATGAATAAAGCGGTGCAACTCGTCTACCAATGGGGAATTGAAAATAATGAAATAAAAGATGAGGATGTGGACTGGGGCTTATGCTGTGGGACTTGATTGGTGGCGTGCAACGCATCAACGAGTGCGAGAATAAAATTTGCATAACGATCCGGGCGTGAGAGATGACCAACGCCGGGTGAAAATACATCAATGATTTGTTGTGTCTTTACGAGGACGCGGGGGGAGTCGCTGATGATTGATGAATCATCAGGGAGGTGGATCTAGTTTTGTTCCACTTGAAAATTCATATTAGCCTGTTTTCTCTCCGCGAAACCGTTAACTCGACTTGATTTTTTTTTTAATGGTGGAGTGTCTGTATAATTGTTTTTTCGTTTGGTTTTAGGTTGAGGAATTTTTTAACGCACTTTTTCCTACGTTAGAGAAGAATTTTTCATTCAGTTTCAATTTAATTTCATTTTGAAATGTCTTGGGTTGACGTTGGTAATTAAAATTCAATTATTCTCTGAGAGTTGAGAGACAATCATTTCCAGAAAAAAAATCCGTTGGAAATTTTTTATTCAATATTTATTTGTTTAAAATATCAAAAAGGTTTTTTAAAGTAATCTCTATTCTCCATCCGATTGGAAAATGTTTTCCCATTAAGTGATAAAGAATTTAGACATTAACGTTTAATTACAAGCCACTGATTAAAATCCCGAATCCTAGAAATTTTTTTCTGGGAAACCCGAAAATGATAATTTAAATAATTTATCAAGATTTATTTCCCATGACATTTCAAGATTATTCATGCATTCGTACAATTGTCATAAATCTTACTAACCTGGTAAACACATCCGGATAATGTGTCCTTGAAAATGCTTTTTCAAGTTCTTCAAGTTGGAAACTCGTGAAGGTCGTTCTGTACCTCCTCTGCTTCCTCTTGGGTGCAAAATCGTCGACCTCAGCATCACTCTCAGGACTGGTTGGTGCAGCACGTGGATGTACCCCCTCATCATCGTGTCTGCTCTCCTCAGTGGCCGATATCCCCATTTGTCCCTGATTCGTATGCTGCTGATGATGCTGTTGAGACTGCTGACTAACTCCCAAACTTCCTGTACTACTTGCCGGGCTCGTCTGTGAGACAGCCTCGCTGCTACCTCGCCCAGTACTCTCTGCAATTAAATTCCAATAATCAATAAAAACGAAAAAAATTTCTAATAACCAATTTGAAATATTTCCCCCAATCAATTGTCCATTAAAGAGAATCATTAAAGAGTCATTTTCCAAATTGTGGAACTGTCTCAATTATTTTTAATTACTCATCGAATACCTCTTAATGACTTGACGTTTCTGTCCCGCCTAATCTCTTCATAAAATACTGAGAACGAATCTAGCGCTGATGAAATCCTCAAATTAACCGATTCCTCCGTTGTCCGCGACATTAATGAACGCGTCAAGTGCAAAAGAACCATTTCGATTTCTATTAAAAAAAAAAAAAAAGAATCCCCCGCAAATTCACCAACCGGAAAGAGTGGTTTTATATCCTTACTCAACCATTCGTTATCACCAACATTCGCGGAATTTCCTTAACGCGCATTTTGGTTTCCTCTGGAAAGTACGTTATTGCATAAGGAAGTATAAAAAGATGACCACCACTAATTGCTTAATACAATCGTAAACCCGTCAATTTGTACTCCATTCATTTACATAATCATCTGACAATTGATTGAATCTCCTTGGCGTAACTGTCAACAGCAACAATACACCAGTAATAAATTATTGAAAAATAAACTATCGGATAAAAAAAACAACAGCACGGAGGATCGGCATTCACAGTAAATTAAATAAATAAAAAAAAAAAAAATTGTAATACGTGTATGAGTGATGGCTATCCTCGACTAATGTGGTAGCTATTATACGTCCGTTGGCGTTCCTTTCACCGACCTTGCCTTTTGTATTAATGATACGACTAGAATGGAAATCGACACCTCGGTCCCCCTTCTTACCCCATCTGTCCCCTCCTGGCCCCTTTTGCCCCCTCCTGTCCCTTTCGGCCCTCTCCTGGCCCCTCCTGCCCCACCCTAACTCAACATCGTGTCCCGAAATTTTCGGCTAGAAAAAAAAAAACAAAAATCCTACCTCTGTTTTATCAATCTGATCAATCGAGAGATCGGGCGGGGATCACGCGGCGACGAGGCGAATAATAATCGTCACAGGCACGCGATCAAACGATTCACAAATTGCCAAATCGATTTGTTGAAAGCACCACATGCATCAGACTGGATATCATAACTCGATTTTTTACATTATGTTCAACACAACTCAACACCCAAATCGTTCGATTCCACTCCGAAATTGTCGTCTCTCCAGTATTTGCCGAAGATCGAGACAGCGATATTCGATACTTGCATTATTGCAAAGACAAACTCGATTATACTGACAAAATTATCAGAGAAATGGTCGATTTATTATTCCTGGGGTACCAGTCATGTGCAATGCAAACTTGAAGTTAATTTAACCTTCAACGCAATTGATGGAGTTATCGAATTAAAAAATCGCTTTATTTGAGAGGAATTAATGCCTTATTTGATTGGCACAAATAATTCAGTTTAATTGAATGAATTGTTTCCACGATGTTATGGAGTTATTGTCAGTATCCTCTCCTTTTTCGTATTTTTTTGTGATTGTTCAATGATATTTTATGAATTTTAATTGTAAAAGTTTACTGAGACATCGAATAACAAAAATTAAAAACAGTATAATTTTTTATCTTAATTTTATCAACTGTTCCACAGGAATTAGTAAAAATTCTAAAAAATAAGAAGATATCACCAATAATTTTTATCTTCATTTTCAAATTGAATATTTAATTGTATTTCTAGTCAGTCAATGTGAAAATCATTACATGTCAATTTTTGAGTTGAATTTTCTATTTCATTTTTTTTTTTGAGATCATCAATTTTTCTGGGCGTCTCCCACACCGACAGGAAGAAAAATCCCACGGACTCCAATCCCTGAATTATGCTAATGAAAATTGATCGATGATTTATGTCTATGCAAATGAGCGTCTTGTCGTAACAAAACTAATTAGCCAACTCATTGCGGTCACCTGTATTGCCTCAACACGTTCTATTACATATTATAATGCAAGATGTTTGGAGTCATCGAGAGATTTATACAGCTCGAGGGTGCGCACACACACATTAAAAACACTAACACGATGTTTTTATTTTTAATTCCATCATACTTGCAAATTCCTCACCGTCGGACTAATAGACGCATCGATGGATACATGCTCCCGGTAGAATGTTCCCCAGAATCTAGATAACACCCCGGCAATTAAGAATTATCGGTGATTTTCTCGTGGCTTTTTGTCCCTTTTAAACTCACACGTTTTGCACCAAAAACACTATTTATGGGTGATGAGATCCCCGAGATAATGATCCAACTGCTATATATATTTTTTTATTCATTTTCATTTTAAATCGTGTATCAACAGAAATGAAGCCATGTGATTTACAATTTAATTGATCAATTTGCGGATAAAAATGGTGAAGGAATTGAGCAACCGTCAAGTTTCTACCGCTCTAATTTTCACCGATTTTAAATTCCCTCATTCGAGTGAAAGCGCTACTTCAATATAAAACACCAACGGAGATCTCAAGTGCATTATATACGCGTAATTATAAATTACACTGTCAACGAGTATGTGTTGCGTTCAATTAGAAAGCCAATGGATCAGATTTCACTGACGCATGGCATTTGATAGCAGCTCCGAGATAGTTAATGTATGCTGAGAATCAATTATGAAACTGATATACATGTCTAATTGTTTCATTCGTAAAAAAAAAATATAAATAAATAGTCCAACTCATTTAATATTAATTACCGCATTGATACTTATTATTCCAATAACTCGTATCTCCGTGATTATTAATCAGTGGGAATATTTATGTAATCAAATCTAATTGATTTAATCTTGAGGACCCGGTTTATATGGGCTATTATATGAATATGCAATATCTTTTAATCAGCTGCATTAATTATTAATAATATTTCTAGGACTTCCGGCACAACGGGAAAATTTTTCATCACTGACAGATGCACGGAAATTCCAAAAAAATTTCAGCAAATTTGGTGAGACCATTAATGGAAGGTGGATATTTTATTTTATTGAAATTTGAATTTTAATTCTATTTCAATTAAAAATAAAATGGATTGAACAATAATTATATAAGTATATATAATAAAGAAAGAGAATAAAAAAAAATAAAATGATAAATATGAATAAAATGGATATCGCGAAATGTCAAGTGTAATTTTCCCACAGTACATCGTAATGAACTAAACTACTTTAATCATCCGAAAACACGTGGACAGGTTGAAGGAAGCGCCAGTCGCCGGTTCGGGTTGTACATAGACATTGCAAATTCGTCCTTGCAATAATTCCAAGAACAACTAGCGATCGCACGCGAGGTTTCCCGTCGTTTCAGCATTTTTTTTTCACCGCAAAACCATATATACGTATTTCGCCTCCTTTTCCCTCATTCCCTTCCACCTTCACCTCTTTTTATTAGTTTCTCCTCGCTGTAGTGATACAGGAGTACAATTACAATTATCCACCCAGTGTAATTACACACAATGTCACTTCTAATTACTAAATTGAATTGCGAGCGCACGGACTTTGTAATGCCACGGATTATAATCTCTACGCGGATGAATGTGTACATGATGTACTCGTTTGCTGACTCAAGCTAATAAAATACCCAAGTTAATTTACAATTATTTATAGAGTTGTAAAAAAAATGGTAGGTTTACCAGTCGATGCATAAATATCGATGTAAAATTCAATTATGAAATTTACATTTGTAATTAAATAAATATGTAAATTGGTCAGATGAAAAAATTATTCGATTATACACGTGCATGTGTCGAATCATAAAACACGTGTACATCATACAGCTCATCTGCCCTCTCACGTCAGCTTGATTAATGACTCGTAATTATACATTTTTTTTTTCTCTCCCCTTCCGCCTTCCTATGGATAATTGTTTATAATTGATGGTGATCATTGTGACTTTTTAATCGCATTAGCGTACCTCGTCAACCAAAGCATGGAGGCTCATTGCGCAATTGTAGGAATAAAATAACCAACGCCCGTATGACAAACAATGTTGGAGATAGAGTGGCCGGAAGCAAGTATTTCCAAGCTCCGTGTTCTTTACTTGCATCCACCTGAGGCCATGTATTATTCATGTAATATTTTGAGGGTAGGTAATTGGTCCTGAATGAGGAAAAACTTCTGATAAAATAGCCTGGGAAATTTCAGCCTATCGACGAGTTATTGCCGATATCTTCTCATTATTCAGATTTTTTTTTAATGGTATCCATGGACCTGATTGACGTGAAAAAATCTACTGGTTTTGGTTTTATTATTATTTAATGATTCGCAAATTTTTATAGTCGAGCGTCCGTTTTTGTAAATTTAGTTTTTACTTCTACACGGAGAGAAATATTTAGTAAAAATTACGGAACTTTCAGTTCACTTACCGATTACGGAGTTGATTCGAAAAATTTAAGTGACGGTATCGTTATTTTTCACCGATAATTCAGATAAAAATTACGGAACACCGCGAAAAAATTCTGTGACTTTAGATAAAAATTACGTGACAGTTCCGTAAAATTTCCAACAACCACATTTCGCTGCAGAATTACGGAAAATACACGTAATTTTTATTGAATATTTCTCTCAGTGTAGTGAACCAATTGTAAATATTATAAGAACAATTTGTTAAAATTTCAGATGTTCGAGTGAAAATAAAAATAATATGTATTCAATAATCGGCCACCATAAATAATTTCTGTGGAATACTTGAACCGAAATAATTTTCCACACTGAATTTCCCAAAAATCTTGCAAAACACCAAATATGATATTAAAAAACGAATAATTAACGACCGATTTGTTATTCCCAAAAAACGATAAATATTCCAAGCATAATTGAATCCGATTGAACAACTTCCATTGACTGAAAAAATTACCCTCCACGTGCGGCAAATATGACCGACGTGGATCCACCGAATAATATCCCCAAGTGAAGTTTTAAAAAATCATGCTGATCCTCCAGCCATCAATTTATAACAAAGAATAAAACAAACGTCAAACGGATGAC